CACATAGTTATGTATTGTGTCAGTGTTTTGACAAGTCGCATTATTACAACTACAAGTGGTATTTCAATCGTTTTAGGTAGCAGTACCCTAGAATTAGGGTAAAGAATTATCCAAGTAAAATTGGCCAAATATTTTGCAAATTACATCATAAATTTGTATACCAAATAGAAAGTTGATGACAATGTTGGTCAATAAATGGAAATACATGTACGAGGTGAAATGGTGATAAAAGCCTGGAATTGATTCACTTGCTATATGCCACTCATTTATGCCTAAATGCCTAGAATCTATGTGACAATCCACTCAGAATACCCTTTCACTAATTGCCTAGAATCTATGTGACAATCCACTCAGAATACCCTTTCACTAATTGCCTAGAATCTATGTGACAATCCACTCAGAATACCCTTTCACTAATTGCCTGGAATCTATGTGACAATCCACTCAGAATACCCTTTCACTAATTGCCTAGAATCTATACAGTGTCCCACTTGCTATACACCACTCCACTAATGCCTAGATTAAACATGGCATTCTAATCACTATACTCAACTTTACTAATGTCTGAAATCTAAGCAGTGTTACATCATTCCACTAACACCTAAAATCTATGTGGCGTTCTACTTGATATACATCATTCCATTAACTTAGGCGAGGGTTCTCCGAACCCGCCTATTCACATAGTTTATACCCACCATAGACTCCGGTCAATCAAAATGACTATTTTGAACTGTCGGCATTAATCAGCGATTCTACCGGTGACGGAGAGATAGAATCTAGGTCAGGGGAAGCCCCATGACCCCAAGATTATTTTACTACTTACGTAACGAACCCACGTGACCGAGGCCACATGGCAGCGCCACAGACGGCCGTACAATCACTCTGGTTCCTTTCTCTCCGCCTCAAGGACTTAACCAACGCTACGGAAAGAGTGTGGTGTTTGGGGGGACCCGCAGTCTATGGTGGGTATGAACTATGTGAATAGGCGGGTTCGGAGAACCCTCGCCTAACTTCACTACGTCCAATTACCCACCATAGACTCCGGTCCACTTCCAGGAAGTGGTAGTGGTACAGACAATCTGCCCGCAAGATTGCTGAGACTGACTTATCGCCTATGCGCAGGGGCCCCTTCAGTCGACCTCCAGTACAGTCGCAGTAATCCACCTGGAGATGGAAGTCGGGGAAGCCAGCTTATCTTGTTTGCCAGGGCCGTAACACAAAAACATGTGTTTGGTTCCCCGTCTGGAAAACCTGGTACGGTTCTCGTAGCAGCTCAACACTCGGACAGGGCAGAGAAGCAATTTCTCCTGATCCTCTGGACCGACAATATTTGACAGCCGGGGGATGACGCTCGGTTGAGGATCGTGTCCTGGGATTTGGTTCTTGGCGAGAAACCCGATTCGTGTCTTTAGTACAACTTGATCGTCCATAAAGGCGGCACAACCGTCCGCGAAGGACAGTGCGCCTAGCTCTGACCGGCACCTACCTGAGGCGAGGGCCAGTAAGAAGACTGTTTTCCACGTCAAAAATTTGAGTGGTGCTGAAACGAGGGGCTCAAGGGTGGTCTGCTTAGCGCTGATAAGAATCAGAATCATTCCCGATGAGGCAGAGATGAAAGAAGAGTGATTGTACGGCTGCCTATGGCGCTGCCATGTGGCCTCGGTCACGTGGGTTTGTGACGTAAGGGGTAAAAAAATCTTGGGGTCATTGGGCTTCTCCTGACCGAGATTCTATCTCTCCTTCACCGGCAGAATCGCTGATTAATGCCTACAGTTCAAATTAGTCATTTTGACTGACCGGAGTCTATGGTGGGTAATTGAACGTAGTGAATTACTAGGTAACAGTGGCCTGGACCAATAGATAGAATATGGTTATGGTAATCATAGCAACAAGAAAAAAGATTTGACTGAACATCAAAAGATAAAATTAACCATACCTGGATGTGACTCGAGAAACATTCTAGCTAAAGCTGATTTCACATTCCAGGTGTGCAGATACTTTCTTATGATTGGCTGTTCTAAAGACTGTGATTGGCTGTATTTCAAAGCAGTTGATTCCCATCCTAGGCTATAAATGAGAGATAAAATAATTACAATCATGACATAACAAACTGTACAGATAGTGGTATGTTTCAATAACCATTTGAAAAATCCATCAGATTTTTTTTTAGATGTCTAAGCTATTTGTCAGGGTTCACTCTCCATAGAAGTGCTATTAAAAGCAACTTACCTTGTCACAGCATCTTGACATTCCTAGCAATAAACAAATTTACACCATCAGTACACAATAGACAGATTTAGAATAACATTATTCAAGAAAATGTACACATTGTCAAAACAAAAAATCATTATAAAACATTTAAAACAAGTGGAAAACATTAATACACTCTCTGTTAATAATAATTATAAATACTCAAATTTGAAACCAGAATTTAAGATTTTAACTCCTTCACAGTGATTTGTTTCAAAATTAGTCAGAATGAACTGACAGACAGACAAACAGACAGACGCACAAGGGAAGTGCACAAGGAAAGTCTAACATAATAGTCCTTTTTTTTAAAAAACTGATTACAAATCCTCTTAAGGGCGTCCCCAATAGATAGAAAAGTTCAGCCACAAACACAATATCACAAAGTTTCCACAGCCAATTGTTAACTTGTTTTATAGACACTTCACAAACAGGGAGAAGTTATCGATAAATAAAAAAAATTGCAAGTTTTTAAACAATCTCCTCAATAATTCATGTGGTAAAGTTTAACCAATAGAGGGAAAAGTAGAATTATTTTCTGGTAGACAAATGTTATGTGAAATGTAATTTATCATTGGTGACTGGCAAAGAATTAATGTGGCTGCAAACTTGTTTGGTTTCAACTAAGCCAGCAATAACATGAACCATTTGGCTAATAATACAGCTCTGTTGCAAGCAATGTTATTTCAGGAAATCAGTAGATCAACATTGCACAGAAAACAGAAGCCTAGTTCTACCAATAACAATATAGGAAAATAAAGTCTAGTTCTGTAGATAGCAATACAGGCAAATGAAAAATTAACTGTAGTTGGTTATTACAAGTTAGTATTGTAAAATCTTTATTAGAAGCCGTCGTTTCTATTAAAATGGTACAAATGTACAATGCAACAGAGGGCCCGGGGGTGCAGCTTCTATTAGAGCATTTACACATATGAGAAATGAAGATTTTTTTTTGGTTCTCAATTGTTCCAAAACGAATAGGTGCAGTTTCCAATACGATATGTTTGACATATTAACAAATTTGGGGAATTATTAGAAAATAGCTACAATCAGATAAGTAAAATATTATAATAGGATAACAAACTACTGAATAATACAAACCTTTATGAATTGAACAAGATCAGTGGCCTGGGATTTTCTCAATTTCTTGGCTTTTTCTAGAATTTCTTTGGATCTCTGTATTTGCTCATGCTTCAACGTGACTCTGCTTTGGAAATCACTAACTTGCATAGTTAACATGTCTTTCATTGCATTCTGTTTAGATCTTATGCAAGATACCAATTCATCACATGTCTCGTCAATATCCTTGGTGGTAATTTTCAAATCACTCTGAAATGAGAATTTCAAAAATCAAATATTAAATAAGTGCCCATGCAGTCTTGAAACTTACTGAATCAGTAGCATAATATAGGATATAGTCACCAAGAACTGCATTACCAGTATATTCTATACCGTATACGTTTCCAGTAACATTTTATAGTACCTCAATTTCTTTATCCAATTCCACTATATTCTTGTCATCCATCCTTTTTTTGAGTTGTTCCTTCATCACAGAAATACTGGATGAAAGTTGTTTCTGAAAGAGAAAAAAATGGTTTTTTTACAGATTCATCAATAATACAAAGTACATGATACTTGTTATACAACCAAGGGCAGAAAACCATGTATTGTAAAAACACGTCTTTTCAGCTAGCAGGTAATTTTAGCCATTTTAGTTAGCCCATGGAAGGTACTAACGGAAGGAGCCACGACGCTATTGTTTTAGCTTTACCCCATGATCGTTTGTCAATGTTTGTTCACAAACATTGTTCTTGTTAGCTTTTAACACCTTCGTACAATGGGTTATGCTAATCTCGAGCATTCGGTAATATTCGGAGCATGTTCGCAAGCGATAGTTGATAGTCGCATGCACAATATTGAAAAAGGCGAACTTTAATGGAAAATTTTCAGATATAACATTGATTGAAGAAACTCTGATGAAATATCGTGAATTTTGTAATGGTAATGAGAGTTAATCAATGATTGCTTGTGACGATTGCATTATTCAATGGTACCATTGTCAGTGAGTGGGTTTGGCGCCCAAAACTGTCGAAATTTTTGACCAACGGACATCGGTGAACACCAACAGAAAAGATAGTATCGAAAGAAGAGCATGCCACGACACATTCTCT